ACGTATTGTTTGCTTTATGGAGCAAAAAGGTTAAACCTAACTTGAGCAAATTCAGAATACAAGATCTTAATTCAGATGAGAGAATGCTTACATGGTGGAACATACTTGGTAAACATGAAAAGAAATCAAAACAAGGTGAAATAATTGAGGCTTTAAACTACATGCGTTGTATAAGGCTAAGTGAGTTAACAATGTGTCTAACTTTAAGTATAGATGCTAAATGTGAAGAACTGCATTCTAAAAATACAGAGGCACAAAAGTCAGAAGCTAAGATTCAAGATCTTCAATTGCAGCTAGATAACTTACTAGCTGAGCAGTTAATCCTAACTGAAAAGTGTAAAAATCACAAGGACATCATTGCAGATCTCAAGGCTAAGCTTAAGGCACAAGAGTCCATGTCTCCCAAAACGCTTAACAGCGATGGGGCTAAAAAGCATGTTCACTTCTTAGAGGAAATTACTTGCTGTGATAATTCTGGAATGATTTGTTCAGAGGAAGCATGTGCCACTGCTCAAAAAAGTGTGCCGATTTCCGTTCTTAAGGTGATGCAACACTGTAATAGCACAGAGTCGTGGACCAGAACGCATGGTGTGAAGGAATCATTAGAGAGTCATGAAAATCCTCAAACTTCAGGAGAACACAGCAAACAACCCTGTGGCAAAGATAGCAGGTTTTTTTATCGTTCCTGTCAAAAAATAGGCCATACAGAGGAAACATGCTGGTCACTGGGTAGGGGTAGACCTCCACCTTATTTTCAGAAAGATAGGAAACCACTTTCTAAAGGCAGATATCAATGCTCATTTGCAGTTAAAACGCTTAGTGAGTTGATTGCATTGTTCATGCAAGGCCTCCAGCTACTGACTTCACTTGCTAGTGGGTTAGCAGCTTAATAGCAATGAGTTTAATATGTAAATATCCACATTTCAGTTATGCTGTTTGTATTTTCAAATTTGTAATTGTGCTTAAGACATTGTGCACATAGAACACACAGTTTAGTTGTTTGTGCTACTACATGTACACAGACTATTTGGGTTTATTCTTTAAAAAGCACATGACTGCTTTACTGTAAGTGTGTGAAACACTTAGGTTAAAGGTTGTAGATGCTACATGCGTACTAGACCATGTGTCTTGTGTAAAATTGGAATAACTGTGATACTGGAATTGCATAGCGATTTCAAGTTGCATGTGTATCTATGTTGAATTTGTTTGTCTCCTGAGTGGTACACTCTGCTATTTTCCATATAGCTGCAGTTAAGCCATGTACAGGAGCATAGAATTGCCATGTGGCCACAGTGTGATTCACAATTGTCTTATCAATGAAAATGCTTTCCTCACAACAGGATTCAGCTCTGAACTTTGCACTTTATCATGCTCCTTAACAAAAAAACATTGGTATGGAAGCATTTTGAGCCAGATCACACCTCATACTCACATTCTCAGGCTGGCTCCCTGTTACAACAGGGCCAAATTTGCATCACAATTGTAAAACTTGCTTGTCTTTGGAGCATGATTACACTGACACATAGCCATAGCTAAATGCAGACACATATACTACCATTTGATCTTCACACACAGAGTCAAATCTACATCTGTCCGATACTGCCTCATATAATGTTAAGTCTGTACATCTGGACTGTATTATAACTGTGAATTTTATCCAATTATTGTTTGTTTTGGTTTCTTTGGGTATACCTAATCACTTAGCTATCATCTCACCAAGTTTCAAATGTAAATTAGTATTTCTCACTTTTGCCTAAGTACAAACATTTTCATTGATATATCATGTAACTAATTTGATTTGTTTATTTGTATGTTGTCCATTTCAGTTGAAACAAAGATTGTTTTTGGACAATTGAATCTCTGTATTTGGTTACACTGAATATGTTGCTTACACTCTTATTGATGAAGGGGGGTGTCAAAACCAGCCATTGTTGATTTTATTATAATGCAATTTATTTGAATGTTTCCAAAAACAGTGTAAGAGCTTTTCAGATCATCTTTTGTTCTCACCTTGACATCTTTTTAAGTACATCGATTTAAGGGCTTTTTGCCAGAGACAAATTCAATCTGACCACATCAAACTATTTGGGTTTATTCTTTAAAAAATACACATGACTGCTTGACTGTAAGTGTGTGAAACACTTATGTTAAAGGTTGTAGATGCTACATGCGTACTAGACCATGTGTCTTGTGTAAAATTGGAATAACTGTAATACTGGAATTACATAGCGATTTCAAGTTGCATGTGTGTCTATGTTGAATTTGTTTGTCTCCTGAGTGGTACACTCTGCTATTTTCCATATAGCTGCAGTTAAGCCATGTACAGGAGCATAGAATTGCCATGTGGCCACAGTGTGATTCACAATTGTCTTATCAATGAAAATGCTTTCCTCACAACAGGATTCAGCTCTGAACTTTGCACCTCCTTAACAACTTAACAAAAAAACATTGGTATGGAAGCATTTTGAGCCAGATCACACCTCATACTCACATTCTCAGGCTGTTACAACAGGACAACAGGGCCAAATTTGCATCACAATTGTAAAACTTGCTTGCCTTTGTTTTGAGCATGATTACACTGACACATAGCCACAGCTAAATGCAGACACATATACTACCATTTGATCTTCACACACAGAGTCAAATCTACATGTGTCTGATACTGCCTCATATAATGTTAAGTCTGTACATCTTGACTGTATTATAATTGTGAATTTCATCCAATTATTGTTTGTTTTGTTTTCTTTGGGTTTATCTAATTACTTAGCTATCATCTCACCAAGTTTCAAATGTAAATTAGTATTTCTCACTTGTATCTAAGTACAAACATTTTCATTGATATATCATGTAACTAATTTGATTTGTTTATTTGTATGTTGTCCATTTCAGTTGAAACAAAGATTGTTTTTGGACAATTGAATCTCTGTATTTGGTTACACTGAATATTTTGCTTATACTCTTATTGATGAAGGGGGGTGTTAAAACCAGCAATTGTTGATTTTATTATAATGCAATTTATTTTAATGTTTCCAAAAACAGTGTAAGAGCTTTTCAGATCATATTTTGTTCTCACCTTGACATCTTTTTAAGTACATCGATTTAAGGGCTTTTTGCCAGAGACAAATTCAATCTGACCACATCAAACCTCTGACCAATGACAAATGCCATGTATACCTTTTCTGTTTGTTGTGCCATATGCTCTTTTGAAATCACGGGATTCCCGCTGCATAAGTTCACATCCTGTGTCCTGCCTCAGAAAGAGGGACAAGCGGATTCTACCATGTTCAGTGCCTGTTCTTGTGGAGGTGTGAAGTATTCAATGGGCATTTTGCATATCTATGAAGGGTGCAACACCATTCGATGAAGATCTCTCACACAGGGCTGAAAGGAGAACAAAGGCTGACCAGCTGCAACTGCAACAAGTCTGGACCAGAAGACTGAAGATGACATCTGCACAGTACAGAAAGCATGTTTTCATGGACTGTGTCACCTTTTGCCTCTTTTGGTGTGGCCAATGGTGCCAAGAGGGGACTTTGTAAAGTAAAAATGTATCAAAGACTTCTGCTTTCCTGTCCCAAACCTATCTTCAGTAACAAAAGGGCCATTTGGAATTCCTGAAGGCACAGAGGTGCTGATAGTGATCAAGGCCTGTAGGCCAACATGTGTATACACCGGGGGTCTGCTAATTGTCACACCTTTTGCCCAGTGGGTGAAGTTATAATCTGCTGATTGGTCAGTTTGAATGTCTCACATTTGGTTTTTAGTCACATGGTCAAGGAAGGGATAAAAGAAGACTGTAACTGTTGCTCTGTTTTTTTCCTTGGCTGTCTCTCTTCTTGGGTCTCTGCCCTCTCTCCCTCTTTTTCTTCCTCTCTCTATCTCTTTCTCTCAGGTAATATTTTACATGTTGGGTACAATTAACTATGCTTTACCATCCTTCATCTATTTTGTAACCAATTCAAGTGTAACCATAACAAAATATTGTTATTAAACCATTTCAATTATTAATTATGTGCTAACTAGTCTTGATTCAAGGTTCATCTTAAAGTGTTACCTATTGCAATACAATAGTCACACAATAGCAACGCTCTCCCACATATGTAGCTATTCTAACTGCGCTTATTTCCGTCGTTGGTATAAGTGGCAGTGGGTGGTAATAGACTAGAAATGTACAGTTT